TGCTGTTAAATGTTATAAATGTTCTGATAAAAAAAAAAAATTATACACTGCATAACGCTCAGTCACAAATCACTAATCAGGTATGTACCTATATAAATACCTACAGAGTACTACAGGTACATTCACAGTCTCGCGGTAGATAATATACAAGGCAGTGCATTTTTTAAAAAATGTTCACTAGGCGACAAAAACATTTTTTCTCAAAATAAATAGTTAATTATAGTAAGTATCTAGGTAATTATTTATTATTTCATGCTCACCACTCATAATTATTAAAAATAAATCTTAATGCTAGAGCCTAGAAAATGTTAGGAAAGAGTCATAAAAAAAACATTTATTTGAAAGAAGATGTAATTTCAAGAAAGATATAATATATAATATTAAATTATTAACATTTTTAATATAATATGTATAGTGATTACTTGTTTAATTTACAAATTGAAAAAAATTACAAAATTATGTTTAGACTTAACAATATTACTATCTTAACTATTTTTCAAAAAACATTTTTATGAATAAACCATTTTTTTGCGTTTCTTAGTCTGGAAGATTGTAACGTTGTTCCTTGTTCTAAAAAACTTAGCCACTGCTGGTCTGGGATCGAAATTTCGTTCTCGGTGACTATTTTCACACATATTTGAATTTTATAATTACGATTAATTGCATTGTATTAAATGTGTTTTATAATATGACCAATATTATACGTACTTACCTACAAATGTATTGTAAATATTTAATATGTTAAGCCTTACAGGGTGTTCCTATTTTCTTCTATTACGAATTTCGATACTATTGTATTAATTTTGATTTTGGACAATTTTACCAGGGACATGCTCGGTTTTGGAAATTTTTACCTTGGACATTTGTGTAGACTACAACGTTTGATAGGCAATAGCCAGGTATACGTGACCTGATATAATACATTATATAAAAGTACTTACCTCATGAAAGTCACACACGAATATTTTCGGCATTCCTCTTGGGAGTTTCTTGAAAATTACCCACTATACCCCACTGTAATACGCACTATATATAATGGTAATTCAGTATAGGTAGTTGGTAAATTATGTACCGTACATATAATATATTACAGTACACCCACCAATAATAAAATTTTATACTCCGGTATTTTCATTTTTAACGATATGCTAATTATTTTTACTTTCAACTCATTGTCGAAGAGTCTCAGACTTCAGTAGATAAGTACTACACTAATACCTATAATAATATGCTTTTATTATAGAACGTAGACTAAATCTTCAGTGTATAAATAATTTTTCAATTTTGAAACAGGTACTTATTTTGAAAAAACCTATTCTGTATGTAAAAATAATTATGCCGTACGCAACATAAAAAAATATTGGACTTTCTTTTGCATATCAGTTATTCAGTAATCAGTTGGTACTGTCCTACATATTTATACTTACTTCAAATATCAAAAATCAAACCAATATATTATATGAAATCGTTAGTCACATGTTTACTATCCAATTGACCTTTGAAAATAATGAAGTGATGTAATATGAAGGTTTATCGTCAAAATATTACTGTCTATAATATTGTAGAAATACGTAGGTAATTTATATAGTAATATCATAATACCTTATACTCTACAGGCTTCTTGTGTTACAATTTGAATTTGATTTAATTTAATATTGTGTATTAGTTTATACAGGACGTAACAGAAATACCTGGCAAATAAAATTCAAATAAAGTGGACAAGTTTTGGAACATGTCATTGTAATGGATGTATTATATTTTAAATCAATGATAAATCATTGTCTACCTACGAAAAACGATTCTGAGCGGAGACGTTGTGTCAGCATATTATACTTGTATAAAATAAACAAATTTAATAGTTAAAAAAAAAATTATAAATAGCGTAGCTTTCCTATGAACTTTTTAATTTTGATATAGGTAAAGGTAGAAAAACTTGTCGGGAACCTTCTATTGTTTCTAATGTTAGCTTTGAAAATAAAAACTTTTATGCATTTCTAACAGAAAAATAATTTACAAAGTTTGAAAAAATTATCATGAAAATTGAACCATGCATGGAAAATGTTATTTTAAATGTTTGGTGAACATTTCAATAGTCTAAGGTTATTTGTTTTGGAAATACATCAAAATATCAAATATCGATTAATATGGAAATTCGATCATTTACCGCTGAATATAAAATATCTTAAAAATTAAAAGTTCAAACTGTCATAAAAAATGTATGTTCAGTAAAGTTTCAGTAAACTCTTTTTTGTTATAGGTAGAAAAACTTGGGAAGTGCCATTTTCTATTAACATTTTTAATCTTAGCTATGAAAAGAAAAACTTTATGAATTTCACCTTTTTTCACTTTTTCTTGACGCTTTCTAAAACTACTTGGAATTTTCAATTTTAACCCGTTAAAAGGACCAACTAGGTTCACCTTAATATCAGAAAATATATTTGATCTCGAAGATCATTTTTGTCTCCCCAAATGATGATGACAGACAGAAAAAAAGACACATCATGTCATCATTATAATCACAAATTTTCCGCTCAGAATCTAAAATATAACATTTTATACTGAACCTGCTTACAAGTAGGTACGAATATTTATAAAAAACAAATTTTAAATATCGATTAGAACAACAGGTATTTCGTTTGTCAGATCGTTTTGTCATACACTTACACACTGTCCTTGTGACCTGTATAGTATTCTATTTGGTATTGAATTATTATTCTTAATACTCGTATTAATTTCTATATGAGAATTTAGATATGAGGTATAGATAATGGCGAAAATATATCAAACTTTAGAGTATAGGGTCATAGGGCGGAAAATAGCAGGGAGGTGCAATTATTGCCCCGAGGTGCATAATGTATTAATCCAGCCTCCTGTATTGTTATTAATTTTTATTCAAATTCACTCATTTATTATAATATCACAATATGGATTATAAATATTAAATTATATAGTTACATTAATGCATTAATTTGTCATCTTTGATACCTAATTCTTTAGTGGCTTTAGCACATATATACATTAGTATTATATACTTAAGTACCTACCTGGCTACCTATATACTCAGCATAGACAGTACCTACTACCTATAGTAAATATAGTTATAGGTAGGCCAGTAAATTTACTTACCTTCTAATGTTCATCTAAGTATCAGATTGCAAAGTGCAAACAATTGATATTTTCTCAAAGTAGGTAATAATCTTTCTCTCTTTTATTTAAACTGCACTATATACATCTTCATCACTGCATTAGTATTTAGTGTGATAGACGGTAGTACCATCCAAATATTTAGTTAAGCTTATAGAGATATGTAAATACATTAAATATATACATTGTTTTTTCACCTGATATAATGTGTGTGAAATAAAATCTATAAATTATCATAATATATTATTATTTAACATTTTGTGGAAAGTTTATTTCAATTAATCAGTCGCTAATAAATAAATAATGTACACGGTGATAATCAGATACACAAGATGTTCTTATCAATATAAATTTTTTGCTAAATAACAGATTAGGTGATATTTTCAAATTAACACGTAGAATTTTTCTCTACATAGTTCTAATTCACAAATTATTTAATATTTTTCGGACATTTTAATTGACAAGTACGTTTGTGTTCACATATTGTACGAGTTACTTGTTTTTTAATACATGACATGTTGATTTATTTTAGTTTTGTACAACGTATTATAGTAGTATAGTATATAATTATTGCGTTAACAAGTGCCAATTTTATTTAATACACAGTTAAAAATTAAAACAGTGATTTTTATTTTAAACATGTTTTTGTTTGATGTCTTAGCAAATTTAATACAATATTTTACTAATAATCATAAATATTTTTAAATTATAATTGCACGATTCTATATAAAAAAAAAAAAAACATCAATATGATTTTATAAGGGTTATTGTCTACAATTTTTATTTTCTAACTTTAAGATATGTACGTAAAAACCTTGTAATTTATATTTTATTGAAATATCTAAAATATAATATGCAACGCACGCAACGATGATGTTGTGTATGATGTATGAAGATAGGAAAATGGATACTAAAAAGTCGTCGATAGGTATATTAGTGACGTTTCACCGGCGTAGAAAAATATTTTAAAAATTTCGTCGTCCAAAATCGTTAAAAAAAAAAAATAATAATAATATTAATTATTAAACAATAAATATTATCACTAGCTGCACGATTTAAAATACATATTAAATATCGTTTGAATAATTTTTTCACAAATTTCTTTTTCCAGTTATGTTCTACGGCATTTTGTTCTTTTTGTCCAGAAATTCTATATTGGCTGATATTGTACTCGATATAGGTACGGTATTTACAATAGTAAGCTTTAAAGTGTAGGTATCAGTGTATAGAAAATGCGAAGGAGCGTTCGAACGATGATACGAATAATATTGTTCGTTTCAAAACATAATAATATAATAATAATAATAATGATAAATGATAATGATAATTATGCAGATTGCAGTAACTCGACTTTGAAACAATTCGCGTGTGGGTGTGGTAAGTATGTTTAGCCCTCACAGAAGTAAACTATATGGCGATCTTTTCAAAAAACGTCGATATACCTACATAATAGTAATTATGTTATTAAGATTGTTATGATAATTATTGTGTTTTAAAACTGAACATTCGAACTTTTCAAGCTAGTCCAATTATATAGTGGTTCCTCAATTTAACTCGTATTAAAACAACAGTAATAATAATAATAATAATAGTAATAATAATAATAATAATAATAATAATAATGATGATGATAATCTAAAACAGAATTTCCTTTAACTACAGTACATGACTAGATATCAAACGTTAGGAAAACACATTACAGTTAATATTTCAGTTGAAAAACTGCAATAGGTATTAAAGTTTTTTAGTTTATATAATATGTTTCGTCGTCATTTTTACATGTTTATGTACGTAAGCTCAGTGGGTACGCGCGCGTACGAGTGCCGGAGGAAGAAAATAGAATTGCGTACGACGCTCTATGATATGCAAACACGTTCTTTGCCGGTGGACCAAGACAGTTTCACTTGGTAGTCCGTGTTCAGGATAAAGTCCGAAATGCAACCGACGAATCCTTTTCTGTATCTCTTTCCCGTAGACTTCTCCACGTCTTCCGTTCCTCCTATGAATTCGAATAAATCACAAACGGTTCAATGAGTTTTTACTAAATAGAAATATCAAAAAATATGTTTGAAAGGGGGGTGGGGGAGGATAGGTGTTCAACTGTTTTAAAAATATAATATGATATTACTATACCTGCACTCACTCACTCACTCACTCACTCATAAACATGATACGTATTTACATAATATATATTTGTTAATTTTATTGAAGAGACTGTACAGCAAACTAGGGAAAATGCTGTTAGTTTTATTTTTTCCAACTTAAAGTTTTTGCATTAAGTATATTATATTATTCACGTGTATACGTTTATTTTTTGTTTTTGGCACGAAGGCAGTTTTCGAGAAATGGGCAATATCATTACCTACAACACCACTAGGTACCTCCCTAACCAATTACTTGTTAGAAAAAAAAGTAGTGCTAAAAAGTTATTAGAATTTGAAAAAAGTTTAAAAACAAACAATAACACGAATTGTAATTACAAATTACGTACCTAATTAATTATTTCTGTAAAACTTCTGATTTGAATATTAAGTTACATAATTTTTTTTTTTAAATATAACAACAAAGACAAGTATTTATGTTTGAATGAATATATTTAAATATTAACACTAAATAATAATTAAAGCACACAAATAAAAGAGAAAACTTTTGAGTTTTTGACACTAATAAAATTCAAATTATATTTTATGTTTGTATAGTTTGAAGTATTTTTTATTCAGTGTCTTGTATAAAACAGGAGTTTTGAGTTAAGCATAATGCATTCAGTATTCACAAGGCAATCTTTTAATGTAAGTAACAATTTTTGAATTGTATAAAATAACAAACTTTAAAAAAAATAATAATAATTGAAAGTTATAGTATAGTGGTGAAAAATTGTAAATGTGAAATGTCATCTAAATTGTAAATAGTAAATCATAATAAATACTCAAAACTATATGTTTTTTGCCTCATAGTTCCTAACCATTACATATTATCTTTATTAAATAAATAATAATTAATAAATAATGAACTATGTATCTGAGACCCTAAAAATGTAATAGTAATTAATTTTGAAGAAAATTAATAGTAATACTTTAATAGTAAAAAATGTCGTTAAATCATATATTTTGTAATCATACGTCATCAAACTTCTAAGAATATCACAATTTAGAAAAAATGAACTGCTTTTACCAAACCTTTTGGTAAACTTGGTAAAAGATTTTGAAGTTAGGAATACATCTGATTAATAGATTGAAAATAGTGTGCAGTTTATTGATATACAATGAGCCGATAAAGAGTGCTGCGTTTTATCTATCGAATTTTTTGAAGTCATAATCATAAGTGTGTGGTTTTTGGATACAATCTAAAATGTATATTATACACTAAAATGCAATAATATTATTGTGACGCAACAATCCAAATATTTTATCAGTAAGGTAAATCAACACTTTTCTTATTTTTCTTGGATATATCATGATAAAAAATTATATGCATGCAATAGAGGTCTATGTAGAGATTTTGAATAGGTAAAATTCGAAATTGCATAATGACAGCAATGAAATTATTGTCTTAAGAACGATATAATTTTAACATTAAACTTTCCAGTAATTTATTTAGATTAATTATAATAATTTATTAATGCAGTGCACGACAACTTTTAGTCAATACATTTTCAAAAAATTGTATTGAATAAAACAAGACTTACCTAAATACAATCCTGTATTCGTATTGAGCTGTTTTAGTCGCCCTGTCGAAATCGTTATCATTTTTGTACCATTATCTATAGTCAAAGCGCTCAATCTCTCATCCCTGAAAAATGGAAAATATTGTATTTTAGGTATTACATTATATTTTATGATATTAATAGTTAAATAAGTATACTGAAAAATGATAAAGATTATAGACTTAATTTGCTTTTAATTATACATTTTTATACAGTTTTATTTTAAATTCAAATAAAAAAATTGTTTTAGTTAATCAATTTTATATTATATTTAACATTGAATTATTTGTATAGCTATTACCATTGATTATAAATACTAGTATTTATAATCAATGTTATTACTTATCCACAGGGCACAGACTACATTATAAATTAAATATAAATATATGAAATAATTATTTCATAATTTGTAGTGTACATGTACTTTTTATTTATAATTATTATTTATTTCTATAGGTAGTGCCGTAGTGGTAAGTTTTGTTTAAATACTTATATTATATATGGAAATAAATTCACTATATTGTATTTATTTTGTATTATGTAATACTATGTAGGTGTCTAAAAACATTTCTACAAACCTAGTAAATTTCATTCTGTGCCAGTGTCCATCATTTATAGGTAATCCAGTGGTATTATATCTAAGTACCGTTTCACCACTCCCTAAATCGTAAGCAACTTCAATACGACCGTCTTGTAATCCCAAAGCTAAAAAGTCAGCTGATCTGTCTGACCGCCCGGTCCACAGTATGAGTCCGGTGAGTGCAGTAGTCCTGAAGCGCATATTTATATCCAAATGTCCGTCAGTGATCCTAAAAATAAACCCATGTTTATGAATAAGAATAAATGTACCTATTTCAGAGTTATTTGAAAGGGATAATATCTTCAGATATTTAAAAATATTTTTGAATGATATATTTTATATGGATAATGAATTATTTTTAGTCCTATGAGAGACCTAAAACAAAAAATCGATAATGGTTTTACTATTATAACACTCATTTAGCACATTAATTGGTTTGGTTTTAGATTTTCATTCTTAAACTTTATTATAATATTATGATCTATCTCATTTTAAAACGGGAAATATTATAATTTTGTACCTACTATAAACTAAATTTAATTATTTTTACAAAAAAACATGTATATTTTTTCGTGTTAGTATTGTTGAACCCGAGATAAATGTTTTTAATTTTAGTCAGTATATTTAGTACCCAACAGTATATATGAATTATTTTCACTATGGGCCAATTTATCAGTTATCACTAGTCAAGCATAGCACGACTAACATAGCCATAACTATACATTTTTTAGGGAGCTGGGTGGTTATAATAATAATCAATTATGACATATACAGTACAAATTCAAATTTCGCAATTTAATTGTATTATGTAAAATTAATTGTTTGTTTCTTTTTAAAAAAATATTAACAGTGTCATTTATATATTTTAATGTTATCTTACTATGAAATTAACATCAAAGTCAATAAGTCATCAAAGCAAGTCCTGAAAATCTAACATTCCCTTGCTGATTCCTCAAAAACGATTTTAATCAACCGGCTAACTTAATCATGGTGAAAAACTGTAAACAGTGTAGAGATACATGCAATGCATTGAACCATGTATGCAATACATACATGCAAATTTAATTGAACCTGCAATTTCACTATGGGCTCTGGCCCATATACGCCACTGGTACCTAACCTAACCTACCTATAAGGTATCATGTGCGTGATTGTCCAAGGCTTTAGACAATGAAAATGTGTAGGTGGAATACTAATAGGTTTAGAACGAATTATGAAAAAAATGGCTGATTGTTAGGTACTACTTTCAATGTTAAAAAATTGATGATAATATATTATGTAATACCATTGCTTATATAAATACATACAATAATAAGTTATATAATTAGTTATATTATTAAGTGATAATATTTTTACCCAATAACGATCCATTATGATTTGGGTGTATTATTTATTTTTATTTTTAACTTTAATTATGATTTAAATGGTTTATAATATATGGTCGTATTACAAGTGTGCTGCAGATGAAACTCAAATGGTACTACATGTCAACATTGGTACTGATACTTTTAGGTACCTACTACAGACATTTTTGAGGTAGATTTTCGCGGCCTGTGCGAGTTATATAATATACAACTGTGCAGTGTAAGCAAATTTTCCACCCAGGGACATGTTTTATGGTGCCGTCATGGTGTCATTTATTTCTCTCTTGTCCGTCGTAAAAAACGAAGTAGTCACCACACTCTTACAAATTTTATTTTTAGCCATTAAAATAAAAAAATGAAACTATTAATTCTTATCAAATATTTTTCCACTATAGGCAACTTATTAAAATACATAAATACATAGAATATAAAAATATTATTATGCCCGAGTTCTCACTGCAAGAGAAATGCGATTATAAACTATATACATTTATTATACATTTATGGTTGTAGATTCTGAGTGAAGCGATGAATGTATTGATTTTACAATGATGTATGTTTTTTAATTGTTCTATTTGTGTATGTGTACACGATAAGTAGTCGAAATAATGTTTCGATTGTTCGATGGATAAGTGAATCTATTGGAGCATTGGGGAGGTAAAAATGCCCAGTAGTTTTCAAAAGCGCCGGGATTTTTCAAAAAAATGGATTTTGGTTTTTGGTGTAACTCTGAAACAAACGACTGTAGATACATGACATTTTCATTTAATGTTTATATTAGAGTTTTCTATACACCATAAAACTTTCAAAACATTTTGACTTGTTTGAACTGTTTTCGGACATTTTTAGTTTCGAATTTTTTAAATATCAATAAAATTGTATAAGTTGGGTCAAAAACCTTAACAATTTGATATAAGACTTCTAATATATTATTACAATGGTAGTTGAAAAATATAAATAATACATTCTCAATTTTTTTTTTCATAAGTTTTTAAAGTTCAAATTTTGACAAAATACTTAAAATTCACATTATTCTGAGTTAGAAAATCATAAAAATTTTTCTTTTTAAATCTAATATTTGAATATTTAATACAAAATTTCTCATTAGTATGTGTACCTTTATAAAAAAAAATATCTACCGGAAAATCAAATTCAATTTTAATCATCATTAGAAGTTCAAAATTCTACAACATTTCACATTTCACTCGACTTCTTATGTAGCGATTTTTGTATTTTGTTTTAATTCAAAAACGAATAACTGTGGATAATTTAAATTTACACCATATGTTTATTTTATCAACTCCCATACTTGATAAACTTTTCAACATATTTTAGATATTTTAGATACATAGGTACAATTTTTTTTTATAAGCATATAAAGTTAAAATGTTAACAATATTTATTAAATTGAAAATTGAAAAATGATTTTGTAGTTAAAAATTCATAAAATATTCAACTTTTATAGTTAAGGATTGAACATTTAAAACAAGGTTCCTCATAAAGTTAAATAAATTACTATATTCACAATAATATTATCATCAAAAATACTTATAGTAATAAGTAATATCATATAGGCTTACGGACCGGCTTCGCTCAGAATCGTTTTTCGTATACAATGTCACAATTATATTGATGAATTTAAATTTAACACCATCCATTTTAGTGACCCACTGTACAGCAGAGCGAGACCCACTTGCCCACTTTTTTTTTATTTCAGCCCGGAAATTACAATTGTCTAGAGGCTTTTCAGAAATTTAAAATGTTTCGATTCTAAATCACGCTGGTTCCTGCCATATAATAGTAATTAAACTTTTTTGTAGATTCATGGATTTAGGTTTACTGGTTCTTATTAATGTCTGTACCAATTAAGTTCGGCTCCAGTTTTGTTGATTCAAAATATGTAGTTACAAATATTTATTTATTTTTCGAAGATTTTTAAGGGGCACCACCATGTTACATTATGACGTATAAGTACATTTATACATAATGTAATACTTTACTATTAAGACAAGAGTTACGGCAATAGTTGTTGTTAAATCATAATAATAAACGTTTACAATGAAATTACCTCTGTTGCACCTCGTGGCCGGTATAATGCACGAAAGACGTTCCATCGAACGACACCTGATCGCCGTCCGATGAGTTGCACCGTCTGTCGCACACGCACTTGTACTTGTCGAAAATCGGTACGCACTGTACGTCGTCGCCACACGGTTTGGCCACGCAAGGGTGGGGGCAGTTGGCTACGTTCGCCCCAGACAGGGCTCCACGGACGATTTGCAACGGTTTTTCGTTGATGGTCACCTGCGCCGGTACACATTTTTAAATTATTACAAATTACTACGACAACGACGATTATTTTATTATCATCATGATGCGCACAGCGACTATTATCGCACACAATAATATAACATTATAGCCTATAGGTAGGTAGGCGGGTAGGTACACACCTAACCTAAAACTTGTTTTGAACTAACTGGTCGAATTTTGATTTAGATAAAGCAACATTTTTAAAAAAGTCATATTCTATAACAATTTACAAATAGGGTGATAATCATTTCTCTCTGCTCCACTTTACGACCATGGGAGCGGTCGTCGTTTGCATATTTTATAGATATATATATTACATGTAGGTATGTATATTTTGCAATTATTATAAGTGGTATCGCTGAATAATGTTAGCATATTTTAGAATGGCTTATAGTTTTTATTGTTCAAATAATGTGTATAAGACATAGCAGATATTCATAACTGCAGTAGGTACTTATTATATTGTTGACAAGAGTAGTTTGCTCAAAGAGTAGCTGTACGAATCGTTAATCTATTCGACTCTTGATTCAAAAATATTCTCAGCAATAGAGGAAATAGGCCATTTTGACCTAATTAATATTATACCTTCATCACCAAAACAACAACCTACTGCCACTGTTGTTTGTTATTTACTTGATGGGAACAATAATGTTATTTTTTTATGGCACCCTTATTTTACATGAAAATCAAAATTAAATAACCACAGAAACATTGGAATATTACTCAGTAGGTACATAAATTATTAATATTATGATCACACCAAAATCTATTGATCATATATACACCTCACTAATCTCTGTTTCAAATTCGGTGAAATCTATCTCACTACAACTGTTGTAGTACAACATACCAAACCACGTGGGCCCCATACTATTTGCTCACTATGCAACAGTAACTACCCCGCAACAAACCATAGGGGATGTACTACCTATAAATAACTCCAAAATCCTACCAGTTCTAAACACGCCTACATGTAACATTACCAACAGTTCCAACACCTCCATGCCCAGTACAACAGTTACGCTAATGTGACAGGCGACAACATTACACTAAATAAAACAACTGATTCTCTTTCAGGGCTCTAGTCAATATAGATAACATAATTTTTAAAATTTTAGATTAATTTAAATATATAATAATTGATCCCCTATAGCCCTATTCTGGCCACCATCACCTCTATAATCTGATCGAATACAACATTGATAAATAATTGGTAGGTACCTATACCTCGAACTCTCAGCTCGTAATGGAAGTAAGGAACGCTAAAGGGAATCCAAAAATAGGACTAAAAAGACAACAGTGTCGTTTATCACAAAAAAAAAACTGTGACAATTGTAACTTATTAAGATGTTAATCTAATTATAGCCTTTGACTCTAAATAAAAGTAATACAATTTCCAGAATATAATGCAAGAGTATTTTTAATTGTTTTTATACTCCAGCTTTGTAAATTATTGATCGAGTAAGTTAATTAATCTAATTAAAAAGTAGTAGAAAATTCAAACTTCTAAGTTCTAACAGTCGGATGGTCTTTACACAGTAAACAACACGAAATTAAATGCATAGATCTAGAAACTGTAATACAAAATATAAATCAAACTTATAGAAGTAGCAGTAAACTGAAAATAAAATTGTCTTAGTAGGTATAAGAATATCGAATGTACAAGTTTATTACACGAAGAGGATTACAATTTACGTCCTCCTTTAGAATATTCTGTATAAATGCAGAAGATCATAAATTCATGACAAAATCCAACATATTCGAATTGATTTCATCATGCTAGAGCCTACAAGTAACGGGTATAATTTTATACCTTATACTTTTTCTGTAGAATTAAAATAAAAAGTATATATGGTTTTAATTTACAATACTTGTTGAAATGTAAATTGATTCAATTCAACGTATTGTATAAATATCTATAAATCGTTTCAAAATTACAAAATGGTCGGTGGCAACATCTGCAGGAATTCGGTCATTTCAAGTACCTACACCTACTTGAAAATTATACAATTCCCAAATTGAAAATCAACCAAAAGCATGTGACCGTAATTTATAATATACTACCTATATATAAGACCAATACAAATTTAATTTAAAATTAAGTGTGATCCACTTGTACAATTAAACAGCGGAATTAATTAGCATATTTTATTATTTCTCTAATATGGTTAAAAAAAAAAAATAACGATATAAATATTCAATAAATAATGGTTAAATAGATAAACTTAATCAATATTTTAAAATTGAGTCAATATTGTTCACGTATTATAAGTTTTTGATTTAATTTAACCTATATAGTATGTCATGCATTCAATGTGTATCGTGTAAGGATCTTTTATACGAACTTAAATAACTAAGCCTTTTTAAAATAATTGTATTATGAATGTTAATATGTTCTTTGTAAAATAAAAGCTGCTTTAGTCTCCATGATCATCACAATGTAGTTTCTAAATGACAATGATCGTTAAATATTATATTATGGTTTTAAATTACTTAATAATAATGTGTAGAGTAGGGATGATAATTATCATATTTAGGATAATTATAATCAATAATTTGTGAAATAATTCATACCTAATAAAAAATTAGTAGATGAGTTAAACTAAAAAATGTAGGCCACCGCTGGTACATGTCGACCATTTGTGTAATCCCTAATTTTTTAACCGACAAGGATATAAAAATAAATTGGAAGAGAAATAATGTTTTAAGTTAGGTCATTCAAATGCTGAAATGCCTCTGATGCTTTTATTGGTTTTGTTAAGTGGTTTATGATACCTAATATAATAAAGCCATATATTTGGCATCTATTTTCATGGTGTATGGTTGACGAAGTTGATGATGTTATACAAACATGGGATCGAAGCATCAATTTATTGATGTAGAAAGTCCAGAAATCGTACTCCATTATAATAAAACAATGGATGCAAAGTTGATGAACACGACCAGCTATTGATAGCTTTTATCGATGTTTTATAAAAAGTAGAGGAAGGATGGACCTGGTATGTAATGCAGGATATGTTTTGGGTTTGATATGGCTATATGTAACAGTTAGTTGGAATACATCAAAGATACAAATAAATTGAAAATACCACAAAAGAAACAATGGACTTATGTTTTTTCATGGCGTTAGCAATAGAGTTAATTTCTATGGAAAAATCATTAGCACCTCCTTCAAATTAAAAAGGACGTCCATCGCATTTATCATCGCTAGTACCTACCTCAAACAAATATTTCTCCGTTATCACTCCGATATATTAGAATTTTGGATACGTGTCTGGAAAATATAATACAAGGAAAAAGGCTGATCGATGCAAATACAATGAATGTGACAGGAGAAAAATTAGTAAGACATACGTGTGCTGCAAAATGTGTAAAGTTCAACTGTGTTTTACACCAAAATCAAATTGTTTTAAAAAAAACTTCATGATTAATTTATAACTTATTATTATTTGTTTACTTTAATATGATCTTTACATTCTAACCATCTGTAATGTTACTATCTATGTATTCGGATTTATAATAAGTAATGAATAAAAATCATAAGTTCAAATTGAATGAACATAATATATAATATTATTGCATTTTTATGTCAGAGAGTCTTAGTGTACAATACAATGTGCGTTACTATTTTTCCTCATAAGAAAATATTGCAAACATTTTAAAACTTATTTTTTGGCAAAATAATTTTGGGTTAAAATTAAATTATTATATTGAATAGATAATTATAAATTATATCCGTAGTCTGCACAATTAGTGAGTGAAGCATTTTATCTTAACTAATGGATAATAATTCAGTTTCAATTTAAAGGTTGAGTAATAAGTACGTATATAATTTCTAATATATAAAAAAAATAATGAATTTTATAAATGTGCTTTTTTAGTCAACGACGCGCGTTACCTATCGATAAATCTTTATATAAAACTGAAAATGTAATAACATTATTAAAGTCATGATACTGTTACTAAAACTGTAAGTATTACATAATGCGAGTAGGTATTTTTATTACATAATAAACTGTAGCATTTTTAACTATAATAACGTTATTGGATCTAGAAAACATACCAATATTCTGTAATTTCTATAATATGGATCTATAATATAATACGCAATACACAAAAATACATGATTATACATTTTCCTTTTATATTCGAAAAACATTTTAATTAAATTCTTAAGGTCGCAAAAATAGCTGTGTGAATATTATATAGATAATACACTAATATAATAATAAATGATAATCAGAGTCGTTCCAAATGATGTGCGCGTGTGTATATGTGTGAGGGGTGGGGCAAAAGTTCCCTAGGCGCAAAAGATGTAACATTTTAAAGGGTGACAAACGTTTAAATAGTAAGTATGTATGGCTAATAGGGGCGCCGAGTATTATTTCCCTGGGGTGTCAATGTAAATTGGAACGGCACTGATGATAATATAATATTATATTTGTTGAATATAGGTACTAACTTTTTGTATGCAGCCTTTGAACGACGTCCGAACCTTGATTTGCGCCGGTACTGTGTCGAAATCGGGTACACCTCCGATATACATACTTAACGGTAATGACAGCTGTGTAAATGCTTCCGGTGACAATACCTGAACCAAAGCAATGGATTAATAATGGTTTAGAATATTTCAGATACAGAACTATCTATGGTTTTATTAAAAATATTTTTACTATAAATTATGTATAACAAAAACTAGAAGGTAGGTATTTGTTTTGTTTGTTTTATTTGTGCGTTTGAACAATTGGCTGTCCATCAATAATAATGACTATCTACAATATAGATATTCCTACAAATATTTCTCTTTATTTCTTATTTTCTTATATATATATATGTCAATAGTTTATTGTTGTTTAATTTATAAAGAATACTCGAAGAATACATACAAAAACACTCGTGGCGATTGTATAACTTTTTTTTATCAAACTAGAATTTTCGAATAATTAATAAAAATAAATTACTTGTCATATATACAAATAATATGGGCTATTGAATTTTAAAATACCTGCCATTTAGTGTTTAACTTCCATTTAAAGTCTTTCATGCTCGTTATAAATACAACTTTCATAGGTATACTAAAGTTGCCTCATTTATTTTTAATAACCATACATTTCTAAGTTTATAAATATTCAAGAAGTTCTTACTTGAACTTCTGGTTGATTGTCCACACGCATAACTGCTAATTTTCCTGTTCGCGATATCCATAGTCTATGCCATTCCCCTAAAGAAACTGTCCATGGACTCCTGTCAAAGTATAAAATCAAATATTTAATTATTAACTACTGATTCTGTTATTCCGAAGTAGTAAACAGCTAAATGACAGTGTTTCTTTTATTTTGTGCTTTTGATCAGTGGCGTAAATGGTATATATAACTTTTGTAGGGTTGTGCGGGGGGGGAGGAAAAGTCAGTGGGAATATACATAACCTTTGTACACAAACAGGCATTTATAATGTCCTAAAAAAAGTGATCAGTGAAAAATAATTTTAGGTGAGACTCAAGTTTCTCAAATAGTCAAATTCACTATGAACCCTCATTCACGTTTTATGGTGTGATAGTTGTGAGATCGGAGATTAGATCTATGTTGTTTATATATATTATATTGATATAGGTAACGACTATTGTGCATGATATAGGTAGTTACTATACAAAAAAAAATGTCATAAATTTTATATATTATCCTATAAATCAGACTCATCGTTATTACTGATTTATGATTATAATATACAAAACGCCAAAGTTCGTTCTAAAATTTACTCAAAATTATGTTTTACGGGTTATAAACTGAAATAATATAGTCTGAATCAATTTAGATCCGGTCCTATATAAATAATTAAGGTTGTTTGTGTAAAATAGTGAGCGTGTTACGTAGTTTGTTATTACGGTTTACGTTTATAATCCGTTCAGTTAGTTAGCCATCTTGATATATGCATGAATAAACATTTCTAAGATTATACTATAGATAAATATACTTATATACTCATATAAATTTAACACTCCGTAGTACCAACTATTACGTATACCTACATAAATACAGGTTTCATAAAAAAATAAAATATTAATTCCGAAACATGTGTGTACCCGAAAAGTATGTGCACACATAAGCAATTAATTTATTTTTAGAAAATATGCTTTGCATTAGGGACGGAAACCAAAACAAATTTGGCGGTTTAAAACCCAGTTTTTATATTAACTTTTTTGCTCACCGGTTTTAATACACAAAATAAAAATCTTAGGTTTTGGTTTCGGTTTTAAAAATCAGTTGTAAACAACTAATAGGTTTTGGTTAACCATTAATACCTACAGGATTTTATATATAAAAAAAAATGTTTACAATACTTTTTCACTTGGGTTTCGGGTTTATAGGTATTAGGTATTTCACAGTTAACTATACATAACTTTTTCTTACATACAAATAATTTAAAAAGTCAAGAAAATCTTAAATTAATATTTACTTATCAATTACGAATATTTATATTAGACTTGAAATAACATCAGGAATTAGGACAATTGTAAACATTTATGACTTTGGTCTTTTTAGTTTTCTTATACTATAAAACAGAAACCCGTGTGGCGCTCCCGCTGGCGATTTTTTGTACTTTTTAGGGAACCCTCCAATGAGAACATTCCATTTCCTCGATGGGCGGTCTCCCGGCGGCGGCGGAGTCGTAGCTACATTGCAATATTATATCAGAAAAAAAAGGTCTAAAAATAAGGTATATTTACCGAGAACTTGGAGATTGTATAGAAAATATTATCAGAAAAAAAGGTATATTTACGAAGAACTTTGTATTTATATTTTATTGATTAGTTTATTTATTATTTATATATAATAAATAATTTCAATTTCTTCAGATTTTTCGTCTCTACCCCACCTTTGACGACTTTTTGCGTCCCCCCTCGGACCTTATTCGCGTCCCCCGCTAATTTACAGACCATACTCCGTTCACGGCGTGCAAACCGAGTGGCGCCGTCTCACGCGTTTTTTGTCGAAAATTCCAGTCTTAGCCATTTTCGACACGTCTGCCCACCCCGTTGACGACTTATTCGGGTTCCCCGCTACATTCATGGGTCGCGAGAGTCGATCGTGGAGAGCGTGGCGTCGTCACGATTTCAACGATTTTTCGAACATTTTCGACTCGAGTTGCCTCCAACCCCTCTTTGATAAGTCGGACCTCTCCGTTGAAGACTTATTCGCATTCCCCTCTAAATTTATCCCGAATTTATTTATACCGAGTGGCGCCGTCCAGTATGTATCACTATATACAGGCATAAATGCATGCGTCGGAAGGTTCGACGCGGTAGGATCGCCGGCTACGAAGTGCTTTGATGGACGTCGAAACAGCGTTCGCAATTCCCAGGGACGGCGAAACGGTTTAAGAGTCATAGATTTGACTCCAGTCCTCAATTTGGTAGGTAGGTAGGTAGCACGGGCGCCGGAATTTTTTTTCACGTTTTTATTTTCGTTGTTACCTTCAGCCTCTTTCTTAAGCCTTATCATATTTAACGAAAACTTTCCGATTTTTTTCAAAATTCGAGTTTCACCGTCGAAGACTTATTCGCGTTCCCCTCCAAATTTATAAGCCACCCGGGTCAGTACTTCGCTCCCGTCGAATGCCGCGGCGGAGATCGGAGAGCGGACAGTGTCGTTATTACTGTATACGGAAATGAAAATATGTTCGATTTTTTGATTCAATCAACTGCGTTATTATATTATATTTTACTGCCTTTTGTCCTTTGCCCACTCGGTCACGCAGTGGCTTCCTTATATCGGTATTTATATATTTGATTTGGCATAAATATACACGATATAGCCACAGCATCGGTTTATATAATTATGATATTAAGTATGTATATGAATGAATAGTGAAATTACGCGGCTGTACTTCCTTCGGTTCTAAACTTCTTTCGAGACGAGTCCCGGGCCGATTGACATCGCGGAGAGCGCCTCCATCGATATTACTATAATATATAGGCTTCAATATATGCGCCCGAAATGTTTTGAATTTTTTTTCACGTAATTTATTAAGTACTTAATTGTGCGTTTTCAGTGACAGTAGTGAACGCTGTCCTCGATTCGACGCAGTCGGATTGCATACCTGATGACGTGACCCGGCCGTCGCACATTGTCCGCTATCCTATCCGACGGAGTCGGATTGCCTACCCAGATACATGAGGTGACTGACCTGGTAGACACCAAAACAAAATCACGCCGGCTATATAATTTTTTTACGGAATTTCGAATTTCCGGGGCAGTAAAGAACGTTGTTGTTTACCCGGGCTACCACGTCGAACCACGGTGGTCTTAACCTTATCAGAGTTCCTTATCACACGCCAACCGGCTCGAGACCGACGACCAGACCAAAAGACCACTGCAGCTTCCGAAATCGAAAACACTCATGACCGACAAGTGGGGTCTGGGGTGTCCCCCAGCGACGCTCGGTAGCACTAGAAATTAATACAATTCTAGGTGAGTACTTATTTTTAACTTATAATTTCTAATGTTCAAATTGTTAATTCAAATCAATTTTGTATACACAATTTCATGTTGGTTTGAATTTAAATTATGGAATCACGAAGCCGAATATTATTAAGCGCAATATCCGTATCAGCTGTAAGCAATAAGTCAATGATAATATAATATCAACACTTAACTATTAAAGTTAAAATAGGTCAATGAAAAATTAAAAACATCATGATATTGAAGGGAAATAATAAGTATCAAATACCACATTTCAGAATCATGATTCAATAATTAATTAAATATAGGTATACGAGCTATATTTAATTTATATAATATAATATCTATAATTTTTCCCAATTAATATGAGTTACGAAGACTGGTCGATGTCTAACACTAAACTATATTATAGTAATTAGTATTGAAATATTTAATCAAACTAGTTAATTGATTGTCACTAATCACTATTAATATTATTAAATATCCTGGGAAATGTTAAATCATAATTTACCTAGTACCTACCTGCATATTAGTTATTAATTAATTAATTTAGAATTCAATTGTTTTTTAATTATACTGAAAATTGTATAGTCTAACCGTTATATTCACAGAATATCGACGCTTGGTATATGTTTGAATATTCTTGAATTACATAATAATTATTAAATATGAAAACCGACTAACCACGTCATAAATACTTTGTTAATCATAATTTTTTATACTAATTTTTAGAAGTGTTAGAACCATATTATAATAATGTAGGTATTAAAAGATAAAAGTATCAATAAATATAGTGATATTAATAAACTACAATATATTGTAATAACTGACAGTTTGTTGTATGGTTGACGATTGTTAAATATAAATAATTCTTACCAATGAATTAATGACATAATTATATTGTGAGAAAATATTATTGTTTTTTTTTTTTTTATTAATTATCCCGCGGCAACATAGGCCATTGGGAGGGGGGTGGTACTGTAGGTTTTGGAACGGTAGGTGTGTTACACGTGGGTGATTATTGTTTTATTATCCACTTTATAACATAGATTATAAAATAATATTATTCCTATAAAATAAAAATGTCGTATATAACATAATTATAAAACTAATTATGTTTTTTTTAAATTTACAAATATAAGAAACACTACAAACTCAAGGTTTTAAAAAATATTCACTGATTTATATCTCTCTATTATACAAAAAAGTTTTGAAAAATAATTTCGTCAAATAATTATTACCATGGCAACCAATATTAGAGTTTTTTTGTACATTTTTAGATTGATAGAAATATATATTATATTAGAGTTATTAACTCTGAGCTTACAAAAAAGATTGAAGAGGGGTTGGTGAGCGAAGTGAGCAGCAGTAACAGAGCCCCTTTGTATAAAATAAAAAAAATGAATTTATATATTTTACAAGTTATGTATGTCATGTGTTTCTGTGTAATAATATCATAATATACATTTATCGGATATAACTATTATGACTAACCTTTAAATCTATTGAGCATCAAAATGCAAATGCATTTGTAATTGAAACATAATCTAATAAATAAATTACAATATTCCCTTTATGATATGTATAGTTTATACTAATCAAAATGCAGTTAAGTGTTTCTATATATTATGCGATATGTCCCATTAAAGTTCCACTCAAAATATTATCATAACACATATTGTTTAAAAGTTATAGTATCTAATGGTGGACGTGTATTGTTATTGATACTTTATCAAACATTCCAATTAATTTTGATTATATTAATTTATGGTCAATTAATTCATGGTCATATTTATAATGAAATATTTGTGTGATTATTAGACTAGCGATGATTATATTATATAGTTATTTTGGTGTAGTTGAGTAAATTTATTATAGTTAATAATAAATTATCCTTGATTTCTATTAACATATTATAATATTAATATGTACCTAGGTATACCTACATACCTAGGTAAGTCAGATACTTGGAAAATGCTTTTTTTTTTTTTAAATTGAATCAAGTTAAATAAAACAGCGGATTTATGTCCAAGGAAGGGTTTAAATAAATAATTTATTGCCTATTACTTTAAATGTGTATCATACAAATATTATGTTATAATAATAATAATAATATAATACCATAAAATGTTTTTATGATCACACGGCGTAATAGATAGGCTATTTGACTACATCGCTGTCGTGGGTACATTTATGACATTATAGTATAATATATATTTTTTACATTATTTTAATAATACATTTTATTTATACTATACCTTAATGATGCTGTTCCCGTGCCTAGATCGAATGTAAACTCTACATGACCATCAATCATATAAACACAAATGAAGTCAGCTGAACCATACTTTTGGTACCCTTCATACAGTATCAGTCCGTCTATTGATTGAGTTTTGAAAACAATATCCAAATCCAACCATGACAGAGCTGAGTCTCCCAAAGCGGGATGTCTCAGATAACTGGAACCATTAAATGATGGTACCTGAAACATTGACAAAACGAAATATGAATTTATTGTAATAATTTTAATACCAATAGTTAAGTTATTTGTTGTGTAATAATAATACCCCGGATTTTACTCTTGTCAGCCTGATTATTGTTAAAGTTAATTTTTGGTTTAAAATCATATTCATATTCTGTTTTTCTCTGTTTTTAGGTATAAATATTTGTTCTGAATATTGTGTATCCATATTTATAATTTTAAGAAGTTCATTCCGTCCCAACTACAAACCATCCAAGCATTCCAGTCCATATCCCTCCGTCTCATAACATCTGCCCCATGGTACGTAACAAATAATACACTTCACAAGGACTTGAAAATACAAATTGTTGAACAACTAACTAAACAATACTACACTAAATTTCACAAAAAATTACATCTACATCAAAATCCTCTTATCTTCCACCTATCTTCGTGTACACTTCCTGACACCCCCTCGCTGCCTTAAAAGACGCTAGTGTCGTGATCTTTTATGATTAAAAAAAAAAAAAAATCAATAAATTATGTTTAATTTAAATCTGAAGGGTTCTATCATTGGATTTATCCTGCCATTCTGTTATTATATTATATTGTTTTGTTGTACATATATCACATTTCTTCATTGTGTTTTATTAATACAGATTGTAAATTTTCTAAAAAAAAAAAAGAAGAAGAAATTCATTATAGATAATGTTATAGCTTTACACAACATCGATCGACTGCCATCAGGCTTATTATTGTTATTATAATAATATTATGTTTAAACTAAACAATTTTATGTATGTCTATTATTTATGTGTATATGTCAATATGTGTATGTGTGTGTTTTTCTTAGATAATAATAATTATTATTAAGTCATTAAATAATACTAACATGATGGAATTTAAATAATTTACTAAATAAAGTAGGTATATAAATTACTTACTTACTACATAATCGGGGATCCATAACAGTTCAAAAATATCTGTAAGGTGATATCCCCTATCACCCTCCCCCCACTAACGCTACTGAAATGTTGACATCGCTTGGTTACTATAGCCATAGGAAGAATTGCTAACTATAGGAAAATTCCATAAAATCATCTATAGGTACTGTCCCCTGAAATTATTTTAAACCATGTACGCGTGTAGTCTATGTATTTAACTGTTAGTTGAATTCATCAAATATTATTAATCGATATAATGATTATGCTAAAATTAATTAAAAAAATATGAATATCGATTTGAACCTATAACGTGAACCTATTCACACCGTTCTACTTTGGTATTTACCTAAGTCGGCATTGACTTATACAAATATATTAATATTTAATACTCATTGTAATGATAATTAACAATATACATAATATGTATGAGATGTTTTTAAAATCTGTTCAACCTATATGACCGTATAACTAATTTAAAAATTAATCATATCAATAGCAATACAAATATTATATTGTAAAAATATACAATTAAAAACAGAGGCTGAGACAATATTATTGTCTACGCTAAGAATCGTTCTCATATACAATTAATATTAATCATCGAATTGAAATTTAACACATAATATATTACAATTGCCTACTCAATGTAATGCGTATGCTCAAATTCTTCTATATAGCAGAGAAAGTTCCACGATTTTAATTTATATTTTGTGTCATATACTCATATTCATACATAAAAAAAAAGATGCTCTGCTGTACAGTAGGTTACAAGTGGGTCACTGTATAATGGATAGTATTACATTTAGAGTATGTATTATATTACAAGAAAATTTTTTATGAATTAAATAATTTGCAAATTTTCGTCCTTTTTACGTATTTTGTCAATATTTGAACTTTAAATGCTTATAAAAAAAAATTGTGACTACGGATTTTTAATTTTTTTCATCTGTCTTTGAAACAATATATTAGGAGCCTTCTATTAAATTTTCAAGCATTTTTAACCAACAAATAAAATTACAACAAACATATAATTTTATCTATGCCTATCCTGCCGATAATGTCTTCGTAAGCTTACGGGTCTGATGATGTATATTTTTGTTACATATGCTGAAACAATTGTTGAATTTGAATCATTGAGTTCAGTTTAGACTTTAGAGCAGGAATGTGTGAATCATATTATGATCATCAGAACCAACAAAACCCAAAGAAATCGTTGAATTTATAAATCGCCGTTACATTGTATGTACACCGTTCGTGAGAGTTGGTCATTTTATTTGACATTATGACCTATTTTATAGGATGATGTATTTTTTAGAATTTATTGACGAAGTATAGCGGTATTTACAGTGTTATCGTACCTTCTGGTTATTTTTAGTAGTACTAAAAATCATCCTAGTATGCAACAACGAGAGCAATAATATAAAACGATAGGCCATAAATATACACTTTATTTTAGAATGGTTTAAACTTTAAAGGTGAGCCCTCCACCCTCAATGATTTATTTAAATGTTGATACATTAGTGGATTATCATCCATAATATACTAATTTTAAACGTTAATGTTTTCCACATAGTTCTGACGTAGGTCAAAAGGTTTTCAGTTTGATTATATTTCAAACCTATTAAATTCGGTGTTTTTAAATATTCTATAAATAATTATAAATTATATATACACCACCACGAGGATCCAATTTACCTATATAGCATGCAGTCGTATCTGCTGCCGGTTTCTCATAATTTAGTTATTCATTGTTACAACATACAGTATTATAGAATGAATTAAGATCTATCTTAGTCCACCGTCTGGCCTTGGAAGGTAGAAACATAAATACATTTCATGTATTTAAGTTTTTACTTTGATATAACAATATAATAAACCGAACGAGTAGTGACTATTTCCTTTATTATTATTTGTTTTAAATTACATATTAATTGTATTTGTTGTATAGTGTTTAAACTAGGAAAATTAATAAAGACACAACATATTCAACCAAAACTGAGGTTTTTAGTAAAACTACGGTTTTGTAGGTAATATATTATAAATATAAAATCAAGCAAAGTTGACTTATAACATGTACACGCGGACTGAATATTCATCATATTGAATGTTGCCTATAACTAATTTCTTAAAATCAATATTTTTTTTATTATTTTGACTAAAAACCCAACAAATTTGGATTTGTTAACATTAAATAATAATTAAAAATATGCATAGGTTCACAATAATATTAAAAATAAATATTAAGTATACGTAAAAACTATTATAATTTAATAATTTAAAACTTGAAATCGAAAAAGTAATTTTTAAGAGTTTTAGGGTCTAGGATACCCCGCACAATGTCATGGCGTTGACAGCACTTAAAATGGTTTTTACGAGATTTGAGTTATGTCAGAAATCTTGAATTTCGAGGTACATTTTCTTAGAAAATTATGAAAATATTATGTGAAAATTTCAAGTCAAAAGAGTCGTTATGAAGTGTACCATGTCACGTCAAGTCACTCGGTATTAAAAATTGGAATTCTGAACTTCTTTGTCAGTTACAAAACAATTTATCATGGTTACATTGCGTTACAAAATCTTGTGAAAGCACAAAAATTCCAAACTTGAAGTTCTGGCGTGACGTACCTTTAAAATACCATTACATTTTTTTACTAATTAAAATGGAAACTCTGTTCAAAGTTTAATAACCATGTGACTATGTGAGATTACATTCAAATTAGGTATCTCCTGATATATAAAAATATACTCATACCTGATGGCGGGCGTTTTAATCAAACCGGTAGCAGCTATATGTTTCAATGTAATGATAATACAAAAATAAAAATATAAAATAAAGAATTGTACCTTTACACCTTTTTGGGTATGGCATGAATTCTGCTGACTTAAGCAAAGTGAGGTACAACATTTGTATTAATTATATATGAAATGAATATTAAAGTATTAACTTTCGACAACATACCTAAAATAATTTGTTAACTATTTGCTTTTTAGATCTTAAGTATTCGCCGCTTTTCTGGTCAAAAAGGGTAGTGTTTAGACGTATTGTAAATACCAAGAATACGATCAATTATTGCAGTTAATTAAAATGTAGGTACTCGGTCGGGTATAAAACCTAGTTATATACGCCCGAAGAACTGTATAAAGTGAAGTTATTATAACTATGCCACGAATTGTAGTCACTACCGACTACCGAGTACCGGGTACATTTTGTTTGCTTTAAATTCGGTATTGCATAAATATATTATTGAACCTATTTAACCAAAATGTGACAATATAATTGTTTTTGACATTGGGCTGGTTGTTCAGAGCGATGGATCAAATATAAAACATCAAGAAAATTGTGGTAGGTACACATTTAAAAATCATAGTAAATAGTTTGCGTAGGTATATAATGTATCCCAACAAAAACACTAGGTACGTGTAAAAAACCTGGCTAAGAAAAAAAAACTCAAGTAAGAAAAGTTGTGATATAAAAATGGGCTAAGTAATTTCTTAAATTAATTAGTTAAGAAAATGTTTATAATTGCAATGTTTATATGCTACTAATATTTATGACTACAGCTACAATGCTGACATAAATATTTACTTTCCGATTTTATATTTTCATAATATTACTATATAAAATTTAAGTACATACTATCAGTAGCCAGTTAAATTATCGCGCTTCATGAAATACAAAAAATTAGATACAATTTATTTACTGATACCTACATTTGAGATCAACTACTTAGCACCTTTTCGATATCAAAACTTTTCTAACTTGAATTTTTTTTTCTTAGCTAGGGTTTTTTTTTTACACATAATGCTTTTGTTGGGATATCACAAATTTTTTCGTTAACATTTTGGATATAGTTAACCTATAGTTTTTTTATCGAGTGAAAAATTATTAAAAATATCTTTATTGTTTTATGG